ATTTGTGAGAGGCAGAACCCTGATGATGTAAAGAGTGTAAGCATTAGTCGGTTAGGCAATTTGCTTAGCCTCCTCTTCCAATGGACTCTTTGTTTTGCTCTCCACCGTATCCAAACAATCATCTCATAGCGAGCAGAGAAGACAACGAGTAACACCACTCACTTTGAAGGGTGAAACGAACGAGGGAAGCACACGAATTTAGGGAGAGATAAAAGAAATAATCCAGCACCAAGAATTTTGAAATAAATTAACATATTATTTTTTTATACCCACGCCTGAAGCTTGACTCCTTATTAACAGGAACCAATGTTAACGCCACAGGAAAGGCTATACAGGATGATCACCATAAGAGTGATTTAATGATTTTTTGTAGTCAACTACATTATTGCTAGGAAGGTGACTACTCTTAGATGAGCATGGTAAAGACATTGACGAATAATATGATTTAGTGTAATTGGTTGAAAATTTATCGAGGACACTTTAATGAATATGACTTCAAAATGCTAACCAATTCGATATGTCTTAAGTGTCACAGGTCCATGAGGGTATTGCAGCTAAATAGTTTCTGGGTGACTTTCCTTATTTGACTAAATACGATATTTTAGATTGTTAGCCTTCCACCATTCTAAGCAATCAAAATGAACTATTGGATTTTCTTCCTCGATGAAAACTCCATCATCCAAATACACATCAAGCTCAGATTTTACTGCATGAGTAGTGTAATCTATTCTAATATAAGTTTCATATTTTCTCTTTCCATAAAATGGCTTCCCTCTAATAGAAGATGAACTCGAATAATTACTGCTTGTTTCAACTTCAACTGTATTCTGCTCAGCATTTGCAATTTTATAATCTTCTACATACTCATTATAAAGTTCATTTAAACTCTCTCGTATATCGATGATGTGCATTTGTGCTATGTTTTCATTTAAACTAATTGTTTTAAAAATCACATGCGAGTAGGTTGCATGTTTATCGTTTTTGACATCATCATAACTTACAAAGGATATGTGCTTATATGAAAATGAATTTAAGGGAATGCAGAGATAATATGTGACAATGTGTACAGATCCGCAACGGTGAATGTAGAAGAAATGTCCAAATCAATGCTGTGAATCTCTGCACATGCTATTGTGAGGTCACTAAGAAGAAGATAATCTTACCGCTATTGAAGGGAAACTACAAAGAAGTGCAGGTCGGGGCTTGAACGGGAAGCTTACGAAATACTAAGAAATGAAACTGCAAAGCGAAACTGCAAAGCCCTCTAAATTCACCGAGTTACCGTCGACACTGGCCGGTGTCGGGAGATCGGTGAGGGAAGAAATGAGAGGGTTTAGGACGGAGCTTCTGGGAGAATGAACAGGAAAGACGCTGCCAATCGGGCTTGAGCGGCGTTCGGGAGCGACGTTCGGGACGAAACTTCTAGCAGAAACACAAAGGGTCTCGCCTCTCGGGAAGATAATTTAGGGCATAATTGCAGAAATAATGAACCGACACAGTAGTGTTCAAGCTTGTTTGTTTAAGGATCGAGTATTTAAAATGTTGCTCAAGCTTGTTTGTTTAGTTGATTAAACGATCACAAATGAGCTTTAATCGAACCGAACAACGAGTAGCTCGTCGAACGTTTGGTTCGCTTGCAGCCCTATGCGTAAGACTGAGATTGTGAGAATAGTTTTGCTATAATGTATAATTTTATTTAAATAAGTAATTAATAAGATTTAGATAATATATATTATAACTTATTTCATCAATAAATTATTAGATTTATCATCATAAAAATATAAATATTAAATTAAATTCATCATTTTACTTATTAATTTGAATTTTAATAAAATTATTATAATCAAAATTTTTTCCAAGGGCACTGCCCCCGAGAAACCCCGTAGGGGTGCTACCCCTTGACCACGCGACCTAACCAGGCAGGTCGAACCCCGTTAGGGGGTGCCACCCCCTTGGACCACTGACATATCTGTGAAGCATACAATTATGTTCATAATTAAAAAGAATAATTAGTCACTACAATGACATGTACATATATGAGAAAAAGATTCTCTGGATTTTTAGCGACAAAATTAGCGGCCAAATTTTTTATTGTGACTAATATCAAACTTCTTATTATTTATAGGCCATAATAATTTTTGGTCGCTAAAAGATATCTTTAGCGACTAATTTATTTTTGTCTCTATTTTTTTGGTCGCTATTGACCCATTTTCTTGTACTGAGTTTGATATCATTAATTCACTCAAATGCTCAATAAATGGTCCATGATCAAGGGGATCAAAATTGGCCGTCCATTGAAATCACTCTAAACTTACCCTTGATCTCTTTTCTATTTACGGCCATGACACTCTAAGAAAACTATAAATAAACCCATCATTCCTCATTGAAAGGGGACCCAAGCAAATAATCAAGGAAGAGAAGGAAGAAAGAGAAACCATAGTTCCCTTTCCACTAGACTCCTCGACCACCACTGGACTTCCGCCCAGCCCCCGATTGACGTCGTACATCTAACAGTTTACCGACTAATGCTAGACTTCTCCCAACCAATTGAAGCAAAAATTTTTGCCTGACCACGGAGTGTCGTCGAACTTTCGGCAAACTTCTGCCCAGCCACCAACTATCACTGGACTTACACTCATCCAATAACTAATATGGGATTTACACCCGTCCACCAACTTTTGACAGTCCTTCTGACCTCCATCCTAAGAAAACGATCTTTCTAACCACTATTGCTCGCTAACTATAGCCCTTCCGACCAACTACGCATGACAACGACCTTCCAACCTCTATCACAAGACTACAGTTTTTATGACCACTAACTACAGGAAAATCATCCATTTCTTGCGAAATTTTCCAGCGGCTTTTCAATGGTTAATTTTTCGGCGGCTTTTCAATAGAAAACAATGAGACAGCTTTTTCGATAAAAATTTTCAGCGATTTTTTTCTCATGGAAATTTCGAGTGATTTTTTCAAATTTTCAATGAAGTTTTAAAAATTTAATTAAATTGATTAAAATTTTAACTATTTAAATGATTTAAAAAAATGATTAAAATAATATTAGTTATTTAATTAATTTTCAATTTAAAATTAATTTACAATTATTATTTTTTATTTTATATTAATTATCATTTTTATATTTTTATAATTAAATTAATTAATGTCATTTTTTATTAGTATAATTAAATACTATTTGATTTTGAGTCCATATGTAGTTTAAATATAAAAAATTAACATTTAAAATGTATTTGCATGTCCAACAATTCGGTTGGAGCTTTGAGACTTTTCCAGCCAACCCGGGTTCGAATCACCTCGGGAGTGGGCTAGCGCGAGCAAGGGAGCGGTCTGGTTGTTGGAGCAGGCTGGTCATGGGAGCAAGCAGGCTAGCGGGCTAGCGGGGGAGCGAGCGGGCTTGGGCAAAGGAATGCGGGCTAGCGCTCGAGTGGGCGAGCTCAGGATTGGGAGTGCGGCTGGCGTTAGAGTCAACGGGCTCGGGCAGGGGAGTGGGCTGGCGCTGGCTAGGAGAGGCAGTGCGGGCTGCCAGGCGAGAGAGAACATGAAATTGTTTTTTTATTATTTTTTTTAATGTTTTGACGGCTTAATTTTTCCAATAAGCCGTCGGAATGGTTCGCCACCAAAAAAAATCATCGGAATATACTTTCTTGAGCCTTTTTATACCAGTGGGTTTTTTTCCGCCGAAAAACTGCTTGTAAATTGAAAAACCGCCGGAAAAATGATTAATTTCAGCTGGAAAATTTTGCTGGTAATAGATGATTTTTCTGTAATGTATTAACTACCAATTAGGGTCCTTTCGACATCTGTCTCAAAACAACGATCTTTCCGATCGTTTTCTGCCACCGACTACAGTCCTTCTGACCTACATCGCCAGACAAGCTTCCTTTCGACCTCAGTTTCCATAATACGGTCCTTTCGACCTTCATTGTCAGACTGCGATTTTTTCGACCTCCGTCGCTCGTCGAATATTATTCTTCTAAACTCCGTCGCCAGATAACAATCTTTCCTACCTCTATTACCTATCAACTACGGTCTTTTTGACCATCATCACTGACAACAGTCTTTTTGACCTCCATCGTTGTCGACTATGGTCATTCCTACCACCATCACTGACTATAGCCTTTTCGACCTCCTTCACCATCCACTACAGTACTTCCTACCACTGTCACTTAACTATGATCTTTCTGATCTCTATTACCCGTCAACTACGATACTTCCAACCACCGTCACGCGACTACAGTCTTTCCGACCTCCGTCGCCCACCTACTATGATCCTACTAACCAAATGAACATGTAAATAATAATTCTTCCAATTCTCACCATATGATGCACTCTATATGATGTACATTTGCTACATCAAGCCAATGCCTTCCACCAACGAAAGGCCTTATTTTTAATCTACTGCAAACGCTAGTATATTCATTCAAATTAGGCTTGACCCCGTGATTTTTCCCCTTTTAAGGGGTTTTCACATAAAAATTATGGTGTCTCTTATTAATGCTACACTTCTCTCTTTTCTTGAATTCTTTGTTGGATCTACGTGAAAAACTAAGACGTTAAATTTAATATTTCTCTATTGCTGTGAATATTTCATGATGCAATATTGATATATACATTTTTTTTTCTAAATTTCTTTCTTAATCAATTCAGGAAATAATATGTCAATAAAAATATTAAAATCAACATAATTGGAAGACGAAAAGAATATTATTAATAAAACTAATGTCTGTATTCTTAAATGATTCAAGAACTTCAGACCTACTTGAAATGTTTCTATTCTATTTGTAAAATATGAGACTCGGAGGGCTGATCTTCAATGTATAAAATTTAATTGATTTTATTATTGTAAAATATTCTATCTTCTTGGGATTGAGAGAGAGATTTGCAACGGCAGCAAGACAATTTTATGACCATCAACTGCCACGTGTCCTTCAACCACCATGTAATTTGCAATCCCCTTCCCACCCCTCCATCCATTTCCAACATATGCCCAATCTCCCCTTCCCATTCCTGTATAATTCTCACAACTCACTCTCTCTTTCCATCTCTTCCTGATTTGTTCTTCGGTTCACTCCCAACATTCCGCTGAAATCCTACCAACTCTCTCTATCTCTCTCTCTCTCCCTCTCTCTGGTTTCTTCTGTTTTTACTTTGTGGACGACTTGACATAGCTCAATGGAAGTCGAATACGAAGAAGTGAGATATCTCATCAAATTTCTTTCAAATTTTAAAGAATATCATATTTCTCATTCCTATTGATTATTTTTTGCAGAATAAGATCAATTTGATGGAATTTTCTTACTTTTTTTTGGGGTTTTGTAGGATTACATTAAGAACTCCAGAGGTGTTCAGCTTTTCTCCTGCAGATGGCTCCCCTTATCTTCCCCAGGAAAAGCCCTTGTTTTCCTTTGCCATGGTTTCTATCCCATCAACCTCCTACTTTCTTTTCTCACAAAAAAAAAAAAAAGGTTTCGATTAACTCATAATCAACGCCTTTTCATTTGTTTATTTTATAATTGCAGGTTATGGCATGGAATGCAGTGGTTTCATGAGAGGTATTAAATCATCTTTTAATAAAAAAAGTACTTTTTTTAAATTTCAAGCATAAAATTGTTACAAGACAGATTTAGATTTCGTTTTCGTTCGGGATAATTTTCTTATTACTCATTTAAATTTTTTTTTTAATAGGAAAAGTTTTAGTGAAAGAAAATTTTATATCAAAAAATTACTTTAAACATAACAAAACAATTGTCTCAAATCAATCTTTAATCTCAGCTGATAATAATTTTTAAAATTTTAATTAAATAATTTTGCTTAATGATTCAGTGTTGTGACGGTATAATTAACCCGCAGATAAGAATTGAATTCGTGTTTATTGACTTATATTAATTTACTAATATTCTAACCGCCACACTCATTATTCTAACCAAAAAACAAAACAAATTACCTAACACCCTCTCTTTTTTTACCTGTCGGAATTAATTTAAAAAAAGCTGCTGTTCGATGACCATTCCAGTTTCCTGCAAAAGTAAATTTCACTTCTTCTGTAGTATATCCCATTTTAGTGTGACCCTTACTGCTGGCGTATTACTTTGGTAAAGAAATTGCATTGGTTGTGCAGGTGCTTTCAATGCAATTACCTTATTTGTTCGAGACAGAGAGAGAGAGAGAGGGAAACATAAGATCTTTTTATTGGGATATAAAAATTAAAAGAAAAATTCGTTTACTTTTTCTTAAAGTTTTTTAGGATTAATTATATCTTTTTATGCGGATTTGTTATCTTTGTTGTATATGTTTTCACTATTTAATTTTAAAAAAAAACAATATTATATTTTCTATTCCGTAATACTTTTATCAAGTGAAATATCCTCATATTCTGATATCTTTTAGTCGTAGAGTATTATATACGTATGAGATTTCTAATTATTTCAAGAATTATTTAGAAATTGTTGTTAGTATGTATTTGAATACACTTTGAAGTATAAAAAAAAATTATTTCCTAATTATTTGTATTTTTCACAATTTCCAAATTCGTAGATATTGATATTATTAGAGAGCTAATTAATTGTTTTACACTTCTACCTGAGAGTTATGTACTAAACTAATGTTTAGTAAAGTGATCGTGTGATGTGAAATTAACGGTGGAGATTTGGTTTCCAGGGTGTGGGACTAGATTGGCAGCAGCCGGGTATGCGGTGTATGGCATCGATTATGAGGGTCATGGGAGATCCATGGGAGCTCGATGTTACATCAACAAGTTTGAAAACATTGTCACCGATTGCGACCGCTTCTTCAAATCAATATGTGGTAAGGGATTTCATTCAACAGTGCATTATTTTCATAAAAAATTTCTTACCTATTAGTTAGATGAGTTAATAGTTTAGTTAGTAATTAGCTTACCAAACTCTTTGTACCTGCTCTGACCATTGAAAAATGACTAATTTATTAAAAACAAATTGGTTATAGTTGAAATGTTTTTGCCAATCATGCCATCTACTATTCTCTTGAATTGTAGTTTGCTAAAATTAAGATGAAAATTTTTCATTTTAAGAAAAGAAGTAAATGGTTTTCAATATTAATTTATCTTATGTAGAAAGGGAGGTGAAATAATATATTCTGAGGAACTCTGAAAGATTTTAACGTTTTGGTAACAAATCAAAGAAATTGATCGTTTCGGAGAAAAGAATATTGTGTATACACAATTTAACACGAAAGGTTTATAATATCATAAAGTTGTGTTAGATACGGGAGCAAGTTGCTGATAACGTCAAAAGGCTTCTCGAAAGAAGCATAGTGAGAATTTAAATGCGCCGGGTCATAACAACGTTCGAGTTATCCACCTAAAAGGGTGACCATTTAATATCAAAATAATTGATGTACGGGATATGTTTTCTTGACTTAATGAAACAGTTGATGTTGAAAGGCTAATATGGTCATATTTACAAATAAATTTGTTGTATATCTATATGATACGTTATTTACAAGGCTAAGATCTTAAAATTTTAAATTAAAAAAAAAAAAAAACTTAATTGCCCATTGACTTCCATAAATATTTAATTATTAAGTTTTGCATATAATTATAATTTTTTTCGACAAAGAATATTTCAATTTTTTTAATGATCACCTTCAAATTATTTGCTAAAATTCTAAATTTTTCCTTTTAAGGAATTTTATTTGAGGCTGATTTAAATCTATAGTTGATCAAAGTTGTTCCGTGCCAAAGAAAACTACATTATAGCGATTCAGAAGACGACTAGAGTTTGACGTGTGCTAAAAAATAAAAAAAAAAACTACATTATAGCGATTAAGAAGACGTAGCCGCTTGCTCAAGAACTAGTCCTATATCAACTAACTTCTGATGGCACCAGAAGATTTTCTTAGCATAAAAGTGAATGTTTTTAAGCAAAATCTAATGAGAATTTTTTTTTTGCAACCAAATGAAAAATATTAATAAAGAAAAATGGATGAATTTGTCAAATCTTGAGCTTACCCATATCAACATTAGTGAGAGCAAAGGTGAAAGAAGGAAACCGGAGCAGCAGGAGAATCGTGAGGAAGAAACAGGGAATGCAATATTATTTCATCATATAAATTGGTACAGATACAAGTATTAAATAGACTAAACTTAGGACAGAAAAGTAAATACAAGGAAACAGTTATAACAGATTCTTGTATGGTGCTAATATCCTCCCTCAAATTAAGCGCTCGGTGACCGAGTGGTTAATTTGGTGCGTAATTCCATGAACCGAGATATCGAGAATGGTTTAGTAAGAATGTCAGCTATTTGATCGGCGGATGAGATGTGTTCAAGTTTGATATTGCCGGACTGGAGTTGCTGACGAATGAAGTGATAGTCGATCTCAATGTGCTTCGTTCGAGCGTGAAAAACCGGATTTTTGGCTATGGTCATGGCAGAGGTATTATCACAATGAATTGTTGTCGGAGTTGACTGTGGGAGCTGGAGTTCGGCGGCGAGTCTTCGGAGCCAGATGACATCAGACGCGGCCGCGGATAGAGAGCGATATTCAGCTTCGGTGGAGGATTTGGCGACTGTGGGTTGCTATTTCACGGTCCAGGAGATGAGATTGGGGCCGAGGAAGGTGTAGAAGCCGGATACCGACTTGCGGTCGGTTGCATCCGATGCCCAGTCTGCATCTGAGTAGGTTCGAAGATTCAGAGAGCCATGTGTGATTGGTAAGCCATAGGTGAGAGTTCCTTTGACATAGCGTAGGAGCCGTTTGAGATCATGAAAATCCTGCTCCGTGGGAGTTTGCATATGCTGACAGACACGGTTGGTGGCATACGCTATGTCAGGTCTGGTGATTGAGAAGTATTGGAGTGAGCCAGCGAGGCGGCGGTAGAGGGACGGATCGGGATGTGGCTGCAAGTTTGGTTTCTTCTGATGATTGACAGGAGTAATCGGTGTTGGAGCGGACTTGCAATCCTTATACCCTGCATCATTAAGGATTTTGGAAGCGTAGTGTGCTTGAGAAAGAAAGAAGATATGTTTAGTACGGGTCACCTAGATTCCGAGAAAAAGTGAAATGTCTCCTAGCTGTTTGAGAGCGAAATGTTGTTTGAGTTTGGAGAGAAGTCGGCTAATGGCTGCGGCATCATTACCTGTAACCAGAAAATCATCGACGTAAATTAGCAGGTATATGCAGATACCATTTTGATTAAGGATCAAGAGTGAGGGATCGGAACGACTGAACCCAAATCCAAGTTGTTGTAAGAAACTCGTCAGCTTTTGAAACCATTGTCGCGGTGCTTGCTTTAGGCCATAGAGTGATTTTTGTAGCTTGCACACAGCGTTTGGTTGGGTTGGATCGGCGAAGCCCGGAGGTTGCCGCATGTAGATGTCGTCTGGTAGGTCTCCATGTAAAAAAGCGTTGGCTATATCCAGTTGATAGACTGGCCAGTCACGGTTGAGAGAAAGAGCAAGGAGTAGACGAATTGTAGGCATCTTTGCAACCGGGCTGAAAGTCTCGATGTAGTTGATGCCGAATTTTTGATCGTATCCGAGAGCAACGAGTCGGGCTTTATAGCGGTCGACAGTCCCGTTGGGTAGAAGCTTGATCTTGTATGTCCATTTGCAACCTAGGACAGGCTTGCCGGGAGGAGGAGGAACAAGTGACTAGGTGGATTGCTGTTGAAGAGCGTTAAATTCTGCCTGCATTGCTGCCCGCCAAGGTTCGGATTTAAGTGCCTGGAGATAGGTAGGAGGAGTGACAGGAGGAGTAACTTGGGCTATCAGATTGAAGACCTGCTTCGGTTTGCGGATACCGGATTTGAGGCGTGTTTGCATTTGATGAGTAGGAGGGGTGACGTGAGGGGGTTGGTTGGACGGGCTGAGAGTCTCAGGAGGCAAGTTGGATGAAGTGTCTGGTTGTGTGTCGGAGATAGTGTTGGAGCGAACAGAATTGTGAGAAGGCTGGGAGGGAGTGATGGTGGAGGTAGTGATGGTGGAAGAGGGAGTTAGGAGTAGAGGGGGCATGGTGGAGATATGATTCGGTTGATGCAAGGAAGGCGGATTTGAGTGATGCTTGAGAGGAATTTGAGTTTCATAAAAGAGGACGTGTCTAGTGGTGTACGTGCGACCAGTGAGAAGATTGTGACATAGGTATCCTTTTTGGTGAGGAGAATAACCGATGAAAACACAGGGCTGTGATCTTGGGGAAAGTTTGTTCGTGGAGTAAGGTTTTAACCAAGGATAGCATAGGCAGCCGTATGTGCGAAGGTGGGTGTAGGTCGGAGAGGTACCAGTGAGGCGTTGGTGAGGTATTTGATTAGAGATGGGATCGGCGAAGCCCGGAGGTTGCCGCATATAGATGTCGTCTGGTAGGTCTCCATGTAAAAAAGCGTTGGCTATATCCAGTTGATAGACTGGCCAGTCACGGTTGAGAGAAAGAGCAAGGAGTAGACGAATGGTAGGCATCTTTGCAACCGGGCTGAAAGTCTCGTTGTAGTTGATGCCGAATTTCTGATCGTATCCGAGAGCAACGAGTCGGGCTTTATAGCGATCGACGGTCCCGTTGGGTAGAAGCTTGAGCTTGTATGTCCATTTGCAACCTAGGACAGGCTTGCCGGGAGGAGGAGGAACAAGTGACCAGGTGGATTGCTGTTGAAGAGCGTTGAATTCTGCCTGCATTGCTGCCCGCCAAGGTTCGGATTTAAGTGCCTGGAGATAGGTAGGAGGAGTGACAGGAGGAGTAACTTGGGCTATCAGATTGAAGACCTGCTTCGGTTTGCGGATACCGGATTTGAGGCGTGTTTGCATTTGATGAGTGGGAGGGGTGATGTGAAGGGGTTGGTTGGACGGGCTGAGAGTCTCAGGAGGCAAGTTGGATGAAGTGTCTGGTTGTGTGTCGGAGATAGTGTTGGAGCGAACAGAATTGTGAGAAGGCTGGGAGGGAGTGATGGTGGAGGTAGTGATGGTGGAAGAGGGAGTTAGGAGTAGAGGGGGCATGGTGGAGATATGATTCGGTTGATGCAAGGAAGGCGGATTTGAGTGATGCTTGAGAGGAATTTGAGTTTCATAAAAGAGGACGTGTCTAGTGGTGTACGTGCGACCAGTGAGAAGATTGTGACATAGGTATCCTTTTTGGTGAGGAGAATAACCGATGAAAACACAGGGCTGTGATCTTGGGGAAAGTTTGTTCGTGGAGTAAGGTTTTAACCAAGGATAGCATAGGCAGCCGTATGTGCGAAGGTGGGTGTAGGTCGGAGAGGTACCAGTGAGGCGTTGGTGAGGTATTTGATTAGAGATGGATTTGGACGGAAGCTTGTTGATGAGGTAGTGGGCGGTGGAGAGCGCGGAAGACCAGAACTTGGAAGGTAGACCGGATTCGTGAAGAAGAGCTTGAGTGAGGTCCAGAAGGTGACGGTGTTTGCGTTCAGCGACGCCGTTTTGCTCAGGCGTGTGAGGGCAGGTCAGCTGATGAAGGATGCCGTGGTCCTGCAACAGGCGACGGAAGGCGAGGCTCGTGTATTCGCCTCCGCCGTCGGAGCGAAGAATCTTGGGAATTTTATTATGTTGAGTTTTTATGAGATTAAGAAAATTCTTGAATGCCATTAGAGCTTCGTCTTTAGTATGAAGAAGATAGAGCCAAGAATAACGAGAGTAGTCGTCAATAAAAACGATGTAATACCGATGACCGTCGAGAGAGAGGTGAGGAGCCGGTCCCCAGACGTCGGTGTGAACAAGCTCAAAGGGTTGTGAAGTAATAGTAACTCTTTTATTAAAAACTAACTTGTGGCTTTTAGCCTGATTACAAGAGTTACAAAAGAATGAATGAGGTACATTAGTTATTTCTGGAATTAAGCGAGAAAGAGTGTTGTGAGTGTCGCTGCTCGGGTGTCCTAGGCGAGAATGCCAGTGGCCCGAGGGGATGGTTTTGGCCGTGAGAGCAGAGTTCTTGATGCCGGAAGCAGTGCGGAGGTGGTAGAGTCCGTTACTGAGATGTCCATGAAGCAGCGGACGGTGGTCCCGTGAGTCCTTTATGACGAAACCGTTAGCATCAAAAGAAATGGTAACATAGTTATCGGAAGTAAGTTTTGAGACGGAAAGAAGGTTGTGTGTGAGTGTAGGAACGTGTAGTAGATTGTTGAGATGTAACTTACGAGCGGTGTCCGGCAAAGGGAGGAGACCTTGACCGGAATTGGTGATGGAAAGGTTGTTACCGTTTGCGGTGGAGACCGTATCCGATCCGTGGTAAGCAGTCGGGTAGCAGAGTTGGTTGACATCTGGAGTTAGGTGCGTGGAAGCTCCTGAGTCAAGAATCCAATCTTGACTGATTTGAGCAGACGGATTTGCGTAAAGAGCCCGGGGTTGACGATTGTCGGTAGGAGCGTATTTAGGATTGTGGCGATGCCAACAATTGAGGGCAATGTGCCCAACTTTGCCGCAAATTTGACATGTCGGTCTTGCCAAGGCTGGTGCAGCTGTAGTTACAGAAGTCGGTGCAGAGGAAGTTTGAGACGAGTGCGAAGTCTTGGGTTTGGCAAATCGTCTGTTGCTGTTGTTGTTACGATTGCGAGACGAGTTGGAGGAAGCAGCATAGAGAGCCGTGGGGTTCGGTTCTTGATGATTTTCTTGCTGAAGGTGAATTTCCTCATTGCACAGCAGGGCATAGAAGGTATCCAAGTCTATTGGTTGAAGGGAATTGCGGATGGTTGATTTGAACGAGTTGTAGGTTGGCGGGAGACCGTTGAGGATGTGAAGCATGACGTCTTCAGACTCAATCTTGGAATCGGAGGCGGAGATATTGTCGACGATCGTCTTAATGTGGGTGCGGTATTGTTGCACGGAGAGATCTTTCATTTGAATGCGGTATAGCTCGTTTTTGAGCTGGATGACGCGGGAGCGACTGGTCGGTTGAAGTCGCTTCTCAAGAACAGTCCAAGCAGCGTAGGCGGTGGAAGAGGTTATGATGTAAGGCAATATGGATTGCGATACCGTGGCAAAAAGAGCTGACAGTAGATTGCTGTCAATGACCAGCCATTGAGCATAATCGGTAGAGGCGGGATCGGGCGGTGCCGGGACGGTGCCAAGAAGATGTCCAGCGAAGCCATTTGCAGTAAATTGCTGTAGAATTTGTGCTCGCCAAATTGAGTAGTTGTCCGGCGTGAGATGATGAGGAGCGAGGTTCTTGATATTGGAAAGAAGAAATTTTAGATTTGGTGGTATGCTGGCTGGAATTCCAGCGGAGGAGGTGGTTTGGGTGGAGGATGAGGCGGGGGAGGAGGAGGAAGAGAGGGGTAAGGATTCCATGAGGTTCTTGAACGACCTCTACAGCTCTGATACCATGAGAGCAAAGGTGAAAGAAGGAAACCGGAGCAGCAGGTGAACCGTGAGGAAGAAACAGGGAATGCAATATTATTTCATCATATAAATTGGTACAAATACAAGTATTAAATAGACTAAACTTAGGACAGAAAAGTAAATACAAGGAAACAGTTATAACAGATTCTTGTATGGTGCTAATAATTAGTTGCTATCCAAACTAGATGATCGAAAACGGAGGATCTGTTATGATCAAATAAATCGCAGTAATTTGTTATCAATTTTAGGCGGGTTGAAATAAACACAAGAAAGAATTTTTATTACTTGGATTCTTAGTTTTTACATGTATCTACTGTTATATACCTCTATAAATAGGCTAATGCAATTTTTAGTTCTTTCCCTAATATATGATAGTTTTTTTATTAATTAAAAGATCTATATTGTTCCCAATATCTTGCAGAGAGGGAGGAGAATCGAGAGAAACGAAGGTTCCTATACGGTGAATCAATGGGAGGAGCTGTAACACTACTACTGCACAGGAAGGACCCCATTTATTGGGATGGAGCCATCCTCGTAGCGCCCATGTGCAAGGTAAACACATTGGTGGTGTGAATCTTTATTATTATTATTATTATTATTATTATTATTATTATTATTATTATTATTATTATTATTATTATTATTATTATTATTATTATTATTATTATTATTATTATTATTATTATTATTATTATTATTATTATTATTATTATTATTATTATTATTATTATTATTATTATTATTATTATTATTATTATTATTATTATTATTATTATTATTATTATTATTATTATTATTATTATTATTATTATTTTAATTTAGGCCAACTAGCAATTGAATCTAAAAGTTTTTGTTTGATGACATATAACCAGATATCGGAGAAAGTGAAGCCACACCCATTGGTTGTGGCCGTGCTGACAAGAATGGAAGAGATAATCCCCAAGTGGAAGGTTGTCCCGACGAAGGACATCTACGACAACGCCTTTAAGGATCCTATCAAGCGCCAAGAGGTCTTAAACATCTTTACCTGTTTATAAGAAAGTATTTATTGCATGGATTACTTTTTTTAAACAAAAAATTAAATTTAATATTTTTATATAATATTATATTTTTGATATATCATCAAAAAATTTCTTGGTCGAGCACGAATCTAGAGGCAATGCTTATAGTCAAATCAAGCGGTTCAACGAGACAAATCCAATGAGCCTAACATCGTGAAATTTTGGCATCATTAAGGCATTCAAATGATTGATAAATGGTGTATGATCAAGGGAATCAATATCGACATCCGATTCGAACTACTCCTAACATACTCTTGATCTTCTCCTTATTTATTGTCCATGTCACTCATAGAAAATAATAAATAGATCCCTCATTTTTCATTCAGAGGGTGAGGAATGAGAAGAAGAGAGGAGGAAAAAAAATATGAGATCTCTCATGTCACCAAGCTCCTTTCTGACCACCACTTAGCCACCGACTGTCACCGACGTTCTGCCTAGCCACAAACTGTCACCATACTTATGCCCTACCACCAATTGTGACCGGACTTATTCCCAGCCATCGACTGTCACCGAATTTTCGCCGGACTTTCTCCAAACAACCTACTGTCACTAGACTATTGCTTGGCTATCAACTATTTTCGGACTTATGCCCAACCACCAACCTTCGTTGAACTTTTGTTAGACTTCCACGCGACCACCAACTATCATCGAACTTTACCAGACTCTCGCCCGACCATTGATCAGCGGCAACTATGGCCTCTCCAATCAACATTGCTAGATAATGGTCTTTCTAACCATCGTCACACTCCGACTAAGATTCTTTCGACTACCGTTGCCCAACGACTACTGTCTTTTGACCACCTTCACACGATTACATTCTTTTTGACCTCCTCCATCTAAAAACTACTATCCTTCTGAACACTATTGTCCAACTATAGTCTTTCTGACCTCCATCCCCCGTTGAGTACAGTTCTTCCAAGCAATATCATTCATCGACCATGGTTCTGCCGACCAAACGAACATATAGGCATTGATTCTTCCAACTTCCACCATGTAATGCATTCTACATAATATATTTTTAATACATCGAGCCAAGGCCAACCCCGCAAGGAAGGACCTTATTTATAATAAACTATAAACACTAGTAGATTAATTCAAACTAGGTCATGCCCCGTGGTTTTTCGACATTTTTAGGAGTTTCTATGTAAAAACTCTGGTATTTCTTATGAATGCTACACCAATACTTTATTATCTATTTGCATGCTGGACTTTCATATAAATCTAAGATGAAAACTTTATATTTTTCTCTCACCAAGGAAGGAACTCATTTGTAATCAAATGCAAACACTAGTGGATTTATTCAAACTGGGCCAGGTCCCATGGTTTTTTGCCCTTTTGAGGGGTTTCCGTGTAAAAAACTCTAGTGTCTCTTATGAATGTCCTATACATTCTTATCTTTTTGTGTGTTAAACCTTCATATAAAGTTAAGATGTTAAACTTTATATTTCCCTACCATGGTGAATATTCCAGGATGTAACAGTTTGGAGCCGTCTATGGGGGCTCTAATCTCAAAAGATCGTTCATCTCAATGTCTTGACATTAATTATTGCTGCATCAATTCCATGGGAATAAGATTTGGACTTGGGGCAACCTTGATTACAATCATGTTCAATAAGATTCCACAAATGCTTTGAACATCAAAGATGATATATTGAAAAACTATTTTTAATAAAGTTTCTAGAAAATGTTAGGATGCTTCCAATAAATTACAAGTTTTTTACAGTCCATATATAGACTTCTACTCCTTTGGCAAAGTTTTAATGTCGATCTCAAAAAAGATAGTAACGATATAAAGATAAACTATTCTTCACCTTTGATTTAGGATACACGGCTTATTCTTCCTCTCGCAATCAAGGCATAATCAATCTCAGGGGGATTCGATTCAACCTCTTATGTATAGGTTAATGTCACCAAGTTATGATTTGACTAGCAACCTTGAATAGGTCAAATATCCTATGATGATGTTAATCGAATCTTAAAAATCTTGATTCGAGAAATATATAATTGATATTGTCTTAATCACTAGATCAATCCTAGAGAGATTTGATCTGACATCTTTTACATAGGTTAAAATCTTCGAGCAATACTCTGACACATAATCTCAGATATGTCATACATACTTGGTGGATTCTCTCGGTCTCTTCCACACATGTTAATATCATCGAGCATTGCTCTGACAAATAACCTCGGATAAGTTATACATCTTTGGTGGATTCTCTCGGCCTATTCCACACAAGTTAACGTCATCGAGCAATGCTCAAATAAGTAATCTTGGATAAGTCATACATCATTAGTGAATTCTCTCATCCTCTTCTATGCAGGTTAACATTATCGATTAATGTTCTAACAAACAACTTTTAATAGCTCAAACATCAATTGTGAATTTTCTCATCCTTTTCAATATAAAACAATGCTTTAACAAATAATTCCAGGAAGGCTCACCCTATAAGGTAGCCTCAAAGAAAATTTAGAAATAGACAAGGTCCTCACTGGAAAGACTCCATAAGAGTAAGTGGTTGATATGATCGTAACTTATTCAAAGACCTTAGAAGGCTAAAAACTCTCAAAAGGCATAGGTATATAAAGACCTTAGTTGGCGAAAAAGCCTAAAAAAACATAGGTATACAAAGAATTTATTAGCCAAAAAGCTCAAAAAGGTATATATACATCAAAATCTCAGAAGTCTTAAAGCCTTAGAAGATATGCACTTCTTTGATTATTTAAAATTCTTAGAAGAATAAAAATTGCAAAAGTAATAAATTCCTCTAATCCAATTGCTCTAACCGAGCGATAATATATTAAAGTATATCTGAAATATGCATAAACGACTTAGTTTCCTCGAGGAGAAAAGTTTATTTAAATTAAAAAATAAGCATCGAGCTCATACAAATATTTTAAATTCATATACAATATCATTTGATTTACATATCAAAATTCTACATTAGGTTCAATGGTACATTCATTTTCACTAGAAGATGAAATTAAAATTATATCGATATCATCTTGTGCACTACAATAAATTAAGATGATAAAAAACTCCTTAAGAACCACCAACCTCCACTTAATTGGCAACTTGAGTGTGCTATTAGATTATTGGGATCAATATAATGTTTGATCCCATCAATCTAGTTATCCGCCTTATGCCTCCATCAATATATCATCTTTAACAAAATGAATCATCTCTTTTATTAATGAAAGATCAGAGCCCTGACATGCCTTTGATTATTTGGCAGTTTTTATATGTTGTTAAACTTCTTCCATTATCACACCACCTAACCACATCCGCGAGGTCATTCAATATTCTCTTCGATTTATCATGGTTTTTACTACTCTCAATAGAGTACAACTTAATCATCGCCACCATCATCCTTACACTTGATGTCCATCATCGTTCCTTCACTTCTTATTAGCCATCATCAACCTCTCGCTCTGTTGCTACTAACAGCACACCTTCCAATTGTCTCCTTTAACTCACCAACCAGCTATCGACTAACATCGAAGTTCCACCTTATAGCCATTGCCCCTGAACTTCCACCAGGATGCCGCTTGCCACTAAACTTTCACCAAATCACCAATTATTGTCAGACTTTCACTCAAACATCATCAAAATTCAACTCGTCTAATAACAATCACCGCTCTCCTCCTGGGCATTATTACAGCTAAACCTTTTCAAATCTCCATCGCATGTAAGAGATAGTTGATCTACTTTTGCCAATGTTTGTCTATTGAAAGAATAAACTCTCATTGAGTCTCTTTCTATATAAAGAGGGGCACTAAAGCTTAAATAGGGGATGTGACTTATCTCATATAGTGGAAGACCTCCAATATTAGAATAAATCCAAGAAGAAAAATATATGGAAGGAGGAGAAAGTTCCTTCTAAATAAATTGGGACAATGAAACTTGATAGGGGATGTTGTCTATCAAAAAAAGTAGAATACCTCCAATGTTAGAAGAAATTTATAAGAGAAGAAAAAGAAAGGTAAGGTTTACTCCTACACAAAAGAGACACGCTAAAATTTGATAGGGGATACCACCTATCTTAGATAATGGAATGTCTCTAATATTAGATGAAATAAAAAAAAAAGGAGAAAGGTAAACAAATTTAACTTCTACACAAAGAGGGACACTAAAGATGATAGAGGAAGCCACATATTTAAGATAGTGGAAGACCTCTACTTTAGGAAGGCTAAAGAAGGAGAGGAGAAGAAGGTGCAGTATTTCCTTACTCCTACGAGGGGTATTTATAGGTGAAAATGAGAGGAGGAATATTTTGCAAGAATAAAAGTATTTAAAGAATATTAAAAAAATAAGAATATTTTGAAAATATTTAAAGAAATTCTTATGGAATAAAAATATTTCTAAGAATGTTCTAATATATATATATATATATTACAAAAAGAAGTTGCAAATCGACAGCGACATTATTGTCACTCGCAAAAATGCTAAAAACATAGAATAATTGCAGCAATTTATAATCTACTGCTAAAAGGCGGAGGATGCGACGCTTCTCCCGCTCAACAGTTTGAGCCACGTCCGGTTGCAATTGCTTACAGCCGGTTGTCTGGCTGGCCAATTTGACTTCCAATTTGTGTTCATGCCTGATTTTTTGTCCATCCAATCTAATTCGGATTTTTTTGGGTCCCGGGGACTGGTTCTTGATGTTTCGGACTTAATTTTGATACATTCGAAGCTTAGAATAACTTTTACTATCAATTTAAAGCAATATAAAATATTTTGAAGTGTAATTCATCGACAAATTTTATCATGAATAATGAGTTAGCCTTAGAATAGTACAAAAATTGTAATTAAGGGTATCTTATTTGGTTAATTGCCCTGATGTGAGGTCAACGTTGACATTCAATGAGTGGTCACGGCTCATAATTACCTAAGAATTATAATTTAGCATTGGAATAATTTGAATAGCTCCGACACATTTTTGGACTCTGTAAACTTTGACATCCAAAAATAGGAGGGAAACTAATATATTACAAAAAGGTTTTCTTGATCGAGCACAAATTTCAAGACAATTTTGCATTAAAAAAATTTAATATTAAATTCTGGACCATTCGAACTCTGATTCTAGCAAACTATAGTCGAACTGAACGTCTCAAATAGATGAACCCAACGACACAAATTTCGATTCAATCCGAATCTAAATTGGACCAAATCGAGGAGTTGAAATATGTTTAGAAGCTTTAAAGCATAAATTAGTCAACTAGATAAATTCTAAATATGCCATGCTTATAATCAAATCGAGAGGCTTAATGAGACAAATCCAACAAGCCCAAGATCGGCAAATTCTAACATTATTAAGAAACTCAAATGCTAAATAAACGGTGTATGATAAAGGGAATAAATATCGGTCATCCATTCGAAACACTATCAACGTGCCCTTGAACTTCTCCTTATTTACTATCCATGCCACTATCATAAAACTATAAATATATCCCTCATTTTTCATTGAGAGGGGGAAGAATAGGGAAGAGTTGAAGAAGAGAGGAGAGCAAGAGAAATATGAGATCTCTATTGGCACCAAGTTTCTCTTAGACAACCGCCCTATCACCGACTGTCATCGGACTTCCACATGGCCACCAAATGTCACCGAAATTATTCCTGGCCACCGATTGTCACCAAATTTTTGCCAAACATCCTCCTAAGCACCGACTGTCACCAAACTTCTTCTTGGCCTCCAACTTTCACCAGGCATAGGCCCAACCACCATGCTTTATCAAACTTCCACCCGATCACCAACTGTTATTAGATTATGTTGGACTACTACCCATCCATTAATCATCACCAACTATAGCCTCTCTGACCTTCATCGACAGACAGTGGTGTTTATAACCACTATCTCCCTCCAACTACGGTCTTTCCAACCACCGTCGCGCGACGACTATAGTCCTTCCGACCACTATCACCCAACTAAGGTCTTTTCGACCTCCTTCGCCCGAGGACTACAATATGGGTCGTACTATATAATTAGCTCATTTAGATGTTTTCCAAAAAAAAAAAGTCCATGCTTAATCGGCTTGCATGATATGAATTATATCATACAATCTACTCATTTGAATTTGATTTTAAGTTCACTTAGAGATACATGACTCCTAATTAGGTTAACTTTTGACATCATTATAGAGTATGATAAATATCATACAATACGGATAGTTCAATTTTTGAATTCACCTAATAAGGAAAAAGAGCATAAGGTAGTTATGTAATTTACTTATAAATAATTGTCCAATAGTTCAAGGCTTTCAATTTTGAATTTTCTAGTAATTTTTATGACTTTATATTTTAAAAATTTTAAATAGATCATGTATATTGTATAGTATGATATTCAAAGATCAAGTTATCATGATTAGATATTTTAAATAATTTTCAAAATCCATTTTTCCTAATTATATTATCATGTGTGTATTGTTGGTTGTTTCATCTCAATCATATACTTTGCACATATAAGACAACCTAACTAAAAATAATAATGACTTAGGGATTTTTCAATTGCTTTATTTTATCTTTAGGGCTGCTTTAGATTTTACATCGATGCTTACCATTTGAGATCAGGCTGTGTGTGCCTTCTTCATCATGTGATTGTCCTCATATTTGTATGTTCATTTTAGTGTTGACCTTCTTCTAATGTATTAATGTAGTTGTTATTATAAGCAAAAAGCTCGCATAAACAAAAGTATTAGTAAAAAATTAACACAACTCATAATATTTGTTATAATGAAAATCTCAGATAAACTTTTATGTTTATTGGGTTTAACACTAAAATCTTTATGTTATTGGTGTTTATGCTAACCTTGTTCACGATTATATAAATATCATAAACTTGTCCATCTTATTTGTCTTCTTTCACTATTCTCCTAATCAAAGTGCATATCATTTCTTTTTTCATATCACCTACAAATGTTATCCCTATGATATCATACGAATTATTCAGTATATATTTCATTTTTAATTATCTTAGGCAAATAATGCTCACCTCATGCCTATGCTATCGAAGTTTTGAATTAAGCACAATATATTTGTATATTACATGCTTATGTTTCTAAAGTTGATACCATCATCGACCACTACTCCCCTTACCATCCCCACATATCTATGCAATCTAATGTTCGGTTCGACCAATCCAAGTAGTTGACCAAAGCCAACACCCAACATAAACCAACCCTTATATATCCCACATGCAAATTTAATTAGTTGTCTATAGCCAATTCATTTCCCCAAATTTGCTACTACTTCTCACAAGTTGGTTTCGATCAATTATATAGTGACTAAATCTATCGACAACCTTTGAGTAGTTATCCAACCATTAACATTTGGCAAATTAGATCCACAATAACAACATAATATACCTTAAACCCTATATGCATCTTCAAAACCATTAATGAGTTATCTCTCTATGCAACACATCTTTGACAGCCATAAAACCTGAACTAAGCTACTAGAGATCCAAACAGAATCATGCATATTTGAAGAGTTTGGTGCTTTAGTTTGAAAAGACAAATGGGATCCTATCCCAAAAGATCCATACTTGAATCATGTTGTTTACAAATTAATTTTTTTACACATAATATCAATTTAATGAATCTTTTACAAGATACAAAGAAAGTCTTAATGCTAAGAGTTTTCATTAATGTCCATTCACCAACTACTATGCCAAGTTTAGGCCCATTATGAAACCATCCATAGTTTGACTTCCTCATTATTTTCATTAGCTAAAATTGGTTTATTCATGAGCTAGATATCAACAATGTCGTCCTGCAAGGAACAATCATTGTTGATGCCTATATGGTCCATCCTTCAATGTTTTATTAGAAATGATAAGCGAACTATCTGCAAGAGCAAGATGACTCTATTGTCTAAAAGAATCTCCAGTAGCCTTGTACAATGACATTTACCATTTTTTTTACAACTCACTACACCAAATCTTTGATCAATACTTTTTGTTTTTTATTATAAATAATGGTGCCCTCACTATCTACTTTCTAGTGTATATTTATGTTATCCTAATCACTAGTGGAAGTCCATAGGTTATCCAACGCTTCATTATCCTCTTGTCCAAAGGGCTTTCTCTTAGGGATAATTAATATTTATCATTTCTTTTTGTTGAAGTGGGTCTACATGACATATTTCTTTCTTAGAGTCAATATATCTTTTATCTCCTACATAATGTTGACATAGCTAAATAAATTAAATCTATCAGCACTCCTATCACAACAAATCTATTTCTCAAATATTCCTTGGGTGCCTCCCTAATTACCTTTTTCCTGACCTCAACTCACACTTGATTATCATTTTATTCTTCAAAAAGTTCAAAATGGCTCCAAGTGTTGCTTTTAATTTACTAGACAAACCAAAACATGCTGATGTTCCCTACATTAGACCTATAAAATTGAACTATGACCAAATTTGAGCATATGAAAAAATTGACATTCAAAATAAAATTTGAATTGTTTTAAGTAAATGATGTCATTGTGTAATGCATTGTGCAGATTATGTAAAAAGATCTGATGATAATGTTGATATTACAATTATTTTCCCAGCTTCTATAGAGTAGTTAAGTAATTCTATTTAAATTTGTACATTTAAAATCTAAATTAAATATTAACAAAACGTTGATGAATATAGTCATTTTATGAATCCAACGAATATTGACTTTAGTAATAATTATTTTGATAATTTTAAGGAGCTATTATAAGCTTAAATAATAACATATATATATATATATGTACCTTTAAATTGGTGATCAGATCCGGCGCAACAAGCTGCTTTACAAGGACAAGCCACGCCTTAAGACGGCCCTAGAACTGCTCCGGACAAGCATCGACCTAGAAGACAGCCTAACACAGGTAACCTCACCGCACTCCTTTCCCATTTCCTGCATCTTTTTATTTTTAAACTCGCTAACCCCTAAGTTTCGCAAAGGTGATGCTCCCTTTCTTCGTACTGCACGGCGAGGCAGACACGGTAACTGATCCAGAAGTGAGCAGAGCGCTGTTCGAACGAGCGAGCAGTCAAGACAAGACAATGAAGCTTTACCGGGGAATGTGGCACGGCCTAACTTCCGGCGAACCGGATCGTAACATCGACGTCGTCTTCGCCGACATCGTGGCTTGGCTCGACGATCGAACCGGCCGCCGAGCTGAACTACCGAGGCCGCCAGTCGTGAAGGATGATGGCGGCTCGGCCGGATTTCAGGTTGGATCGGCTGCAGAAGATGTGGCGGAGTTAAGGTGCCAGCGACGGCAGCGGCGGCGTGGCAGAGTTCTGTGTGGGTTGACGGTTGGGCCACGACACCATGCGGCGATGTGAACAGCAAGAGCGTTTTGTAGTTGGATTTGTAGATGTGGAGTAAAATAAAATACTGGTAATCGGTAATTATAGTATATGTTTTTGTATATTAAGAATGGACTCGGATTATGTCCGATTATATGGTGCAGTTATCCGATAATCCAAAGATGTGAGATGATTCTGATAAGTTAGAATTTACATAAGACAAAAAATGGAGCCGGGGAGAAAGAGGAGCATTAGAAGAAGCCTTGGAGGAAGCGAAAGCGGGTTTCCTATAGGAAACGGATTCTCCTTTTGTTCTTGATTGCTGATCCTCGAGTTGCATTCCAGATTTTTTCTGGATGAGGGCTCTTCGGGTTTGCTAACCTGTTTTTTCTTTATTCCTTTTTTGATTTCTTCTACCTTTTTAGTGGTTTCTTTTAGGGTTTTTGCTTTTTACTGTTTGAAATTGTTTTCTTTTGTTGTTTCATGGATTCTTTATCTAATTCTGCTCCTCTAAAACCAGATATAATTTTTTCTCTGGTTTCGGGTGTTTTCCGGATAGGAAAGAAAATGTGGATTGGAGTATTGACTTATGGTCAAACTTCATCCAAACATTTCTTAGTTTATTTTTTTCCTTCTTCTGGTAATCTTGTTCTGTTATCTGAAGGTGATGTCTTTGTTTCTTCGGTTAAACGGGGCCTTATTGGATATTCATTGGGTAAGAGGCCTTATTTTGAAACTTTAAAATCTATCATGCATAAGGTCCGTAAACTGAAAGGTAGCTTTACCTTTCTTGCTTTGAATGAGGGGTTTTTTCTAATAAAGTTTTTTTATCCAAAAAATTATGAACTTGTATGGTCTGGTGGACCTTGGTTTTTCTTTGGTAAACCCTTTGTTATCCATAAATGATCACCTCTATTTCGTCCTAAGCGTAAAGAGTTTACATCCATATCTTTATGGATCAAATTTTTTGATTTACCTTTAGTTTGTTGGCCACCGGAAGACATTTCTAAGATTGCTAGTTTGATTGGGGTTCCTATTGCAGTTGATTCTTTAACTACAGAGCAAATGAGACTCACTTTTGCTAGGGTTTGTATTTTAGTTTTTAAGGATTCTATCCTTCCAGATGAAGTTAATGTCTATTACTGAAAACATCTTTTCTCTAAAAGTTGTTTACGATTGAAAGCCTACTCCCTGTCATAATTGTGGTTCAATTGTTCATCCGTCTGCATTATGTCCGACTCAACCATCGCAACAATTGAAGGAGGCAAGTGATAGATTAGTTCGTGAACAACAGGAAGGCTTTCAAAAACCCAATAGGGGGAGAAGTAAAACCAGAAAGGTTTGGAATGTTGCTTCAGGTTCAGTAAGTTTTTTTAAACAGCCTCAGAAGTTTTTTTCAAAGAAAGATCAAGATCTTTTCTGATAAACATATACTTTCTGATTCTTTATTAAACTCTAAAAATGTTTCTTTAAATGAGTTTACAAATTTTGATACAAATTTAGCTTCTTATAGTTCTAAGAAAAATTGGAATCCTGTTTCTAAAAATTTGGAGGTAGCGGTTAATTCGGTTGAAAAATCTAAGAGATTGACTATATCTTCTTCTAATGAGATTCTACCCAATTTAAATCTGACTACTGAAGAGATTATCACTCATCTCGATTTAAAAAATAATTTAGGTATTTCTAATGATCCTTTTATTTTTAAATTTTCATTCGATATTTTTGATTCACATAATAAGTTTCAAGTGTTGGATTCCCTCATTAATGATGCTTCTTTGGATATGAATAATACTTTACAGAAGATCTCTTCATCGATTAATACTATTCCAAAACAGTCTGGCAATAAAATTGCTATCACTACTATTAAATCTACTAGATCAAAAGCTATCATGAAGGCTAATAATTTGAATATTAAACATTAATGTCTTTGCCAAATATAATTTCCTGGAATGTGAGAGGCTTTAACTGTTTAGATAAAGTTAAGGCTTATGCTAATCTTGTTAACAAGTTTAAGGCTGATTTTTGTTGCATTCTTGAAGCTAAATTAATATTGATTTCTTGGTAATTCTTGATTTGAGGCTAGACAGAGAATTTTTGAGTAAGAAGGTAGTTGGAATAATTTTAATCTTTCTAGTGCTGGTAGAATTTGGTTAAAGTGGAATACTTATTGTATTTCCTTCAATCATATTCTTGTTTCTAGTCAGCTTATCCCTGGGGTTATTAAATTTGGCTCCAATTCCTTTTTTATTACGGCTATCTATGCTTCTATTTCTACTATGGATAAAATTAATCTTTGGAATGATATTCTTCATCTTTCTTCTAACGTTACTAATCCGTGGATTTTGCTTAGAGATTTTAATTGCTGCCATTTTTCTAATGAATAATCTGATGGTGGTGCTATTTCTAATAATAATTTGGGAGCCTTCAATCATTGTATTTTTAATTCTGGGCTTTTGGAGCTTTTGAATATTGGGAATTTTTATATTTGTTTTAATCAACAGAGTAAGAACACTTCATATTAAATTAGATAGGGTTTTTATTAATAACTCTTGGTTGAATGCTTTTCATTCTTAATTTTATATTATGGATAGCCCCCTTTGCTTGGATCATTCGCTTGAATTGTTTGGAGCAATAACTATTCTTCTTCTAATTATAGAATTTTTGTTTAAAAAATATTGGTGCAAATATGACAATTTTTGGGAGTTGCTTATTGAGGTTATTTCTAAAGCTTATGTTGGTAATCCTATCAATAATCTTTATACTAAGCTTAGGCTTCATAAAGTCTTAATTAAAAAGCAAGTTTGGGCTTCCTCTAAGCATCTTTCCTCTGCTATTGATAATATTAAAAAGCAGCAAAGTGTTCTTTGTAGTCTTATTAAAAAGGATCCGATGAATGAGAATATCAATTTAGCTCTTATTAATGTAAATTCTCTTTATAAAGATCAAATTTTTCTTTGGTGTTCTCGAGTTTCTCAGAGGGCTAAGCAAAAATGGATGACTCATGAAGAAGATGATTTAATGTTTTTTTATTCCAAAATCAAATGTGGGCAGAATTATAATAAGATTCATGGTATTTCTTCTGGTCAAGGGATTATTATAGATCCTTTTGAAATTGCTATTTCTTTTGTAAATCTTTTTAAATTAATTTTTATTTCTCTTACATTGGCTAATTCTTCTTCTTTCAATAAACCTATTGGAAATGCTATTCCGGATAGTTTAAAAGTTTCTTTGGTAAGCCCATTTTCAATTGATTAAATTAGAAATGTTATTTTAAGAATCCTAAGAACTTTGCCCCCCTAGTCCATATTGTTACACTTTTGAATTTCTTAAGTATACTTAAGAGGTTGTGGGTCCTACTTTATGTAAAGTTGTTTTTTATTATTTCAATTCTGGTTTTATGACTAAAGATGCAAAGGCGTCTGCCATTTCTTTTATTCCCAAAATGAATAATGCTTCAAAAGTTTCGGATTTTTAATTCTACTTTGGGTATTCAGTAAGGATGTCCGCTTTCTCTTATCTTTTTTTGTATAATTATGGATGTTTTGTCTAATATTTAGGAGGATGATTCTCAAAATAATGGCTTTGAGGGGATTAAAGATGGTGATAATACTATTTCTTATCTTCTTTATGCGGATGATGTCTCATTTTAGGGAAAGCTACCTTGGAGAATGCTAAAAAACTTAATAATATTTTGGACTGTTTTGCGGCTGCCTCTGGCTTATTGGTTAATGCTGGTAAAAACTCTCTTATTATTTTTAAAGATTGTCTTTTAGAAGATACTATTAGCTATATTCTTGGCATTAGAATTGCTTATAATACTATTAAACTTTCAGGTTTGCCCCTCTCTAGTAAGAAATTGAAAGTTGCTTATTTTCAGCCTTTATTTAGTAAGATAACTATTTTGTTGGCCGGTTGGAAAGCTAAATTACTCTCTTTTGCTGGGAGAGTTCAATTTCTAAATTTCACTAATTCCAATGTTATTTTGTATTGGACCAGGGGTATTGCATTACCTAAGTATTATTTTAAATTTATTTGAAAAGTTTGCTCTAATTTCCTTTTTCATGGTGATCCTACTAGTAGGAAAATCCATATTATTGCTTAAAATAAAGTTTGTAAGCCTAAAAAGGTTTGGAGGCCTTTGTTAACCTCATTATTTGAGATAAATTTCCCCAGAATTAATCTCTAGAACCTAAGTTTTCGTAGCCTATTATAGATGTCATCCTTAGGTGGATACCAACTGACATAGCACTAACTCTGACTAGTAATCCGACCCAAATCAAACCCGATTTTAACACAATTAGGACTAAATTTGTTTTCTCGACTCAATTAAAATCAAACCAGCATTAAAAAAAGGATGAAATTAATCATTTAAAGCTATCTTAATTTTAAAATTTAATATAAAATAATTATTTAAATCATTAAGTTCATTCCAGGTTTATTCTCAAACAAAATTTCCTTTCAAATTAAAATTGGATCTTAATCTTAAATCATTCACTAAAACAAGATTTTATGTGAGCCATTGATTTGAATCAAGAGAGAAAAGGGTAGAGTAGTAATTTTGAAGTCATTTGGGTTGTTAGTGGGTTTGGTTCTGGCAGTTTAAGATCCAAACAACCTACTTCCCTTTCATTTGCAAAATGCTTTTACTCCGTCTCTCTTTTATTCACAAGAACCCTAGCCTGCTGGCTCTCTCCCAGCTTGCACAACCCTCCCCTATTAGTTTCCTCCAGTTCGTGAAAACCACCCGTCCCTCTCTCTCTCTCTCTCAGCTCGTGAGAAGACCTATGAGGAATAGACCCCTCCTAGCCCTTCCCATTTACAAGTTCGCAGGCAGGTCTCCTTGCTCTCTTGCGACAAAAGCCAGGCTCTGATCCCTCTCTTTGTTCCTCACCCCTCTATCCTGCACAAACCATAGCCGAGCAGCCGAAGCCTTTGCTTCCACTACCCCAGCTGATGCATACAACCTTCCTAATCTTGGGTAATCTCTTCTACATCCTCTCCATCTTTTTCTTCTTTCACTATTGTTTGATTTAAGTCAAGTGTTAAGGAGTTGAATCTTGATTTTCTTAAGAAAAATCTGAAGCAAAATTTATTTTCTTTCTATCTTAGTAATTAGAAGAGTGATGAAAATCCTTGGGAATGTATATAAAATATATGTGATTCACCTTGATAAAT